CCCGCATAACCCACCTCCAGAGTCACCACCCCCAACACCACCAGGCCCCCCGGAGTCCACAGCGATAGGCTGCAGCGGAGGCGGCGAAGGGGGAGGCGGAGATGACCAAGGCGGGAAACTAGGAGGTGTCTCCAAGCGCGGCGAGCAGTGAGAGGCCGGTGTGTTGTCAGCAGCAGGGTCACCCCCCTCAGCTGGGCCAGAGGAGACTGAGGAGACCTCCGAAGGCAGAATCGAGGGGAGTGGGGTGACGTGAGACAAACCCGAGGGAGCAGGACAAGGAGGGGAGGGGGGAGGGGGGGGAGAGGGGGGGGGTTCTACCTCGGGCGAAATTGGAACCAGGAAGGGAGGCGAGGGGGCACGGGGCAACTGCAGTGGGGATAGAGATGGTAGTAGCAGACCGACTCGTCAAAGGTAACGTCTCGGGAGGACAGGACGCGGCGGGTGGCTGGGTGGTAAAACTCCCAGTCAGGGGCGTCGGTGGGAAAGTCAGGGAGGACGCAGCGAATAGTGCGTGGAGAGAGCTTGTCCGCGGTAGGATCGCGGACAAGGGCAAGAGAGCTTCGGACCCAAAACGCAGACGCATCGCCCACCAACCCCGTCCAAAGGAGAGTAGGCGAGGCCTCTGGCTGTGAAACATGGGACCAGAGGTTGACCTGATGCGCGGCGTATCGGACCGCAAATGGCCACACGAAATGGGGAGCAGCCGCATGGATCATGGAGGTATGATCAGGCCAAAGCGTCGCTCAGTGATCCCATTCTGCTGTGGAGAGGTCGGAAGCGTGAACGACTAGGTGATGCCCTCCTCACGACAGAAACCCTCAAGGAGAACGGAGGCAAACGTGCCCCTATGGTCAGAGTGCAGACGAAGCACGGAGAGGTCATGGTGGAAACGAGCTCTCTGCTGGAGATGAACAGCGCAAATCCAAGGGATCACAACATCACGGACGTCGCCCTTATGCTCTAAAGGAAATACCATGGTGTAGCGCGTGAAGTCGTCGACGACCAGCAAAAAGTAGCGCTCCCGGCGCGGCCCAAGGAGAAATGCGTGGCCCCACATGTCCATGTGTAGTGTATGCAGCGGAGCAGTGGTCGGAGGAAACGAGGAGTGAGGAGCGGCGCGCTGGCGCCCCTCGACGCAAGGAGTGCACGGCGGTGCAAGCGACGAGGGGATCGAAGGCAGGGTCTGCGGGAGCCCAAAGACAAGGTGACGCGAGTGCATGTGATGGAGGCGGTGAAGGGAGGGGTGACCAAGAGGGTAGTGCTAGAGGAGTGACTGGTGCGTGAGCAACCAACACGAGCAAGACGTCGCTACCTGACGTGACGCAGCTACCTGAGGGGACGCAGTGTGCAGTGTAAACTCCAGACCCAGGCCTCCGTGACAACGCGGCAATCTGAGCTCCAGTCGCTGTGTCCGTACAAGTCGCAACGAGCTTGGCCCCAGTAAACGTGGTGGTGACAAGAAGGTCCTGGAGACACCCGACACTCACCAAGTTCCTAGCGAACGAGGGTTAGGAGCAAGCCTCTGACGGAGCCAGAGGGGACTGCCGGACATTATAATTTTTGAAAGTGTAATGTAATGTAACACTTTCTAAATTTTTGTATTGTGAAAAGGGGTACGTGGCCAACACAACAAAGGTAGCGCCGAAGCGCTACTCACCCTCTTTTGCCTACAAAAGAGGGACGTGAGGACATTCGTCCCCACCCACGTTTTCATTTCGGAATTTTAGTTCTAATTTCCCACCCGCCCACCCATTTGTGCATCTTGTTATGTAAACTTATTTAGGACGCGAACGGTGTACTACACCCATATAAAATGATAACGATGCCTTTGCAAGTGGGCCTAAGCAAACTTTCACAATAAGGGAGGACAGTGGAGCTGCAAACAACGACTGGTCCATAGGTGGGGTCGGCCAGAGTGACAGGGACAAGTGACTGGAGTGGTGAGACGGTGGTGCTGTTACGGAAGAAACACTAAGTCGCGCCGGAGTCCAGCGTGAACGAGAGCGCCGCCTCCGCAAGGACTGCACATGTGCTAGCAGTCTCACAAGCACCTACACTAGCAGCCTCTACACAATCCCTCTTGAGCAATCCTAACCAGTCAGGGACCCTGGCCTGCTAACCGAACTCGCCACCGAAGGCGTCCTCGAGGTGGTAGAAACAACGAGCCTCGCCATGCCCCATCTTGTCGTAGGCGACGCCGACCTGACGGCCAGTGCGACGCACGTACGGACAAGGGCCAGTAGCAGGACCACCACCGCCAGTGAAGCCCCTCTGAGCAACCCACTCGCGAAGCTGCTGCGGCGAGGAAGTCTCCTGCTGACGTGGCTGCTGCTGCTGCTGCTGGTGCCCACCCCCAGAACCGCCACCTCCACTTGCTGCTCCATCAGACGCTGCTCCACCAGACGCCGCAACTGTGCCACCACCCTCGCCAGCTCCACCACGACCACCACCCCCACCCCCTCCGCCACCCCCGCCACCCCCACTACCCCCACCACCCCCGCCCCCCCCCAAAGCCACCGCCACCTCCACCACCCCCACCACCCCCACCCTTCCTATGCCCACCCTTGCTGCAGCTCCTCCAGCTAGGAGCGGACGCAGCGCCGACCTCCTCAGCCCCGAGGAATTCAGCAGTAGCAGCAGAGGCAACAGTGGACGCGAGAAGGGAGGGAGTGCACCCCTAAAAAAAGGAGGTGCTGGGGGAGCCACGAGAGGCAGCGACAATGCGGGCACTGGTCTCGGCCTCAAGGAGACGATTCTCAAACGAGGCAAGGTCAAGACAAACGGGGTCTAGGGAGAGGAAGTGGTCTCGAACGACACGAAGGGTGTCATGGAGGCGAGTCGCGAGGAAGTAAAGAGTGAGGTACATGGGGGGTCTGGTCCTCAGCCAGAAACTCTGGCTTGAGGGCGGCACGGTAGCGAGAGTCAAGGGAGCACAGATGAGTCATGAGGTCAGCTACAATGGTGAAGTCAGACACCTCAGGGAAGAGAAACGGCAGCGCAAAACGGCCTAGGGTGGCAGAAGAGGGGGAGGAGTAGCGCTTTACCACTACATCATAGAAAGCCTCGGCCGACATCACTTGGCGAAAGTGGGCCTTCTGGTCGGGAGAGAGGTGAGTGCGGATGGCAAGCTTGGCAGTGGCGTCTCGGGCCGTCCACTTCGTGCAGGCAATGCGGTCAGCCTGGTACTCCTTCTGCACATCCTCCGCAGTGGTAGCGGCAGGCTCAACTGGAGTCTTGGGGGCCTTGAGGGACCCCGACGTGTGCTCAAACAGCGAGACGTCGTCCTTGGTGACACTCTGCAGGTACAAGTACAAGTCCTCTAACCAAGATTCGAACTCGATAGGGCGCCCCTCTGCGTCAAACGCTAGCACAGTAACAATGGCCATGACAGAAATCAGGTCACGCGGTAGCACTAGCTGCAGTTCTAGGCACGGGCGGCGGCTCGGGGTGCAGCGACAGAATGGGCAGCGCGATAGCATGGCGGCTCGGCGGCAGCAGCGCGGTGCGGCGCGGCGGTAAGCAGTGCGGCGCGGTGGGAGGCGGCGCGCCTCGGTAGCGGCCGGTAGTGAGCGGCAGCTGGCGGCAGTAGGCGGCAGTGAGCCGGGCGAATGTTGCAGCTAGCGGCAACGGGCATGTAGCGGGCGGCGAGCGGGTGGCTAGCGGGCGGCAGCGGGCGAGCAGCACGCGAGAAGAAGGCGGCAGCGGGTGGTAGCGGGCCAGACGCAGGCGACAGCGAGCGGCAGCGGGCGGCAGAGGGCCGGGCGTGGGCAACAGCGAGCGGCAGCGGGCGGCGGGCCTGCAGCGGGCGGCTAGCTGGCGGCAGCGAGCAGGTAGCGGGCGGCGCGGCCAGCAGCGAGTGGCCTGGGGCAGCGGGAAGCGAGCAGCGAGGCGACAGCGGGCGGCTAGTGGGCGGCAGCGGGCAGGTAGCGGGGTGTGCGGGCGGCAGCTGCTCGCAGCAGCGCGCAGTAGCGCGCAGCACGGCAGCGCGTGCAGCAGCGGCAGCAGCGCGCACAGAAGGGGCAGCAGTGCGCGCAACAGTGGCAGTGCGGCAGCAGCGGCAGCGCGTGACAGCAGCAGCGCGCGCAGTAGGGCAGGAGGCAGAGCAGCGCGCGAAGCGCGCAGCAGGGCAGTGGGCAGGGCGCAGGCAGTGGGTTGGTGGATCTAACCTACGATAATAGTAACATCATGATACCATGTTAGAACTACGAACAGCGGAATAATGAACTAGGAATGGGTTGGGATACAATTAGGCAACCCTAAAAGTGGTGTTCCCCATATGGCTAACCTCACTATAGCCTAACAACAATATACACAGTTCGACAGACTGAATTGCTTAAAGCTCAAGGCACAAATTGCACAAGTCTAGTAAGGTTGACCCATGTGTTTTTCGAGTGGGGTTGTGGCGCAAGTTCTGATTTCGCCCAGGCTCTCATCAAACAAGGTCTCTCCCAGGGGGGTTGCGCGCAGTGCTTGAAAGTTTGAGAGTACACATGCAAATGTCTGCGTATGGTACGTTGAGAGACCCCATACACTTTTTACCACGTTCGATGAAGACCCCTGGATCTTCAAACCGGGATACCACGGTAGCTCGCTGAAGAATATTGTCAGTGCTGGTTACGGGCAACAGGCATTGATGCCTCGCACCCTAGATACTCAACTATCTCCACATTATCACGGGACAGCATACACGGTTCTCATGTGAAGTCTCACAGCCACTTCTAGCAGCAGATGTAACTTCCAGGGCAGAAAGTTTCTCAACCTAGGCGCTCCTGATTTATATCCACAGTGTTATACGGTATGTACGGTGGTTAATGTACCACAACTACCGGTAGAACAAATTGCCACTGGAAGCAGATGGGAGACACCTCGGTCCCCAGGTCAAGTGCCGTGCTTCCTCTTTGATGGCTTGAGATAGATTCGTAGATCCACAGTTGAGCTTGCGTGATAACGTCCACATAACAGCTATTAGGCATGAGCTTTCACGAGTAGATGGAAACGATTCAACTGAAACGAGCCGCAACTTGGTCGAAGCGAGGAACGTGAACAACTGCAGGATGGAGGCGGGAGGGAATAGATTATAGATGGAATTCCGGGCAGCAATGGCGCAATAACAGACGGGGAGAGCGGAGGTTACGGGTGGGGCGGAGGGGGATGGGGGAGGAAAGATAGAAAATATTGGCCGAGTTTTTACAGGAGTTGTGGAAATTGAAAAAACAAGGCCATGCTTACAAGCATGAGTGGAGAGAAAGCACATGAATGCAAATTGCCATTCACGGATGGAGAACTCCACATGACCATTGCATGCCGTCGCATTGTGCGACTCACCACCATCACGGTATGGTATGGAGATAGCAAGGACTCCTAACCACCGTCGGATGGCATGATGGGCCAACTCACCATCACCGTAGGATGCCATGGAGAGCGGCGTAGAGATAATTTTCCGCGCCACGTTGGCGATGTCGGCTGCTGTCACGTCCCTCAGCTTTGCAATGAAGTCGTGCGGTGGCTTCCTGCCGTTCCCAGCACGCAGGGAGGGAGGGCGCACAGAAAGGGAAGGGCGCACAAAGCGGTCACAATTGGCCTGAATGTGAGAGGCTTGGAGCTAGCCAAGGCTCGAAACCTCAACAAAGTGAGTCGACTCTTGAGGCAGCTCAGAAGAAGCGTCAAGCCAGCCAAGGCTCAAAGCTCGAGTGCTATCAAGCAGCTAAGCATCATAAAAAATTCGGGGTGCGATGGAAGGGTGAGAGAGCGCTTTCATGTCAAAGAAGGGCCAAGGATGACATGCCAGCGCAGGACCAGTGCGTACTCGGTTGCGATGGCGTACCTGTGGCCATAGGTGAGGATCTGACGGCCGATGTCCTCCGCCACCACCACCTGATGTGACGGCGTAGGGTGATATCAAAGGGAGGGGCAGACGGAAGGAGGGGAATGATGGCAAGCAATCACATGGCTTGGGACTGCATGGCATGGAATGGGCCGAATGGGATGAGATGAGATGAGAAATTGGAGTTGATGAAATGAGATGGGAGAGGAGGCATGCCACGATATGAGACATGGCAGCGAGGGCGCTATGGGCATGAGCAGCACTAAGAAGGCACAACCTCCCTTGCAACCCACTGCTCACACACAAGGCACGACCTCCCTTGCAACCCACTGCTTACACACAAGGCACGACCTCCCTTGCAACCCACTGCTCACACACAAGGCACGACCTCCCTTGCAACCCACTGCTTACACACAAGGCACGACCTCCCTTGCAACCCACTGCTCACACACAAGGCACGACCTCCCTTGCAACCCACTGCTCACACACAAGGCACGACCTCCCTTGCAACCCACTGCTTACACACAAGGCACGACCTCCCTTGCAACCCACTGCTCACACACAAGGCACGACCTCCCTTGCAACCCACTGCTCACACACAAGGCACGACCTCCCTTGCAACCCACTGCTTACACACAAGGCACGACCTCCCTTGCAACCCACTGCTTACACACAAGGCACGACCTCCCTTGCAACCCACTGCTTACACACAAGGCACGACCTCCCTTGCAACCCACTGCTTACACACAAGGCACGACCTCCCTTGCAACCCACTGCTTACACACAAGGCACGACCTCCCTTGCAACCCACTGCTCACACACAAGGCACGACCTCCCTTGCAACCCACTGCTTACACACAAGGCACGACCTCCCTTGCAACCCACTGCTCACACACAAGGCACGACCTCCCTTGCAACCCACTGCTCACACACAAGGCACGACCTCCCTTGCAACCCACTGCTTACACACAAGGCACGACCTCCCTTGCAACCCACTGCTTACACACAAGGCACGACCTCCCTTGCAACCCACTGCTTACACACAAGGCACGACCTCCCTTGCAACCCACTGCTTACACACAAGGCACGACCTCCCTTGCAACCCACTGCTTACACACAAGGCACGACCTCCCTTGCAACCCACTGCTCACACACAAGGCACGACCTCCCTTGCAACCCACTGCTCACACACAAGGCACGACCTCCCTTGCAACCCACTGCTCACACACAAGGCACGACCTCCCTTGCAACCCACTGCTCACACACAAGGCACGACCTCCCTTGCAACCCACTGCTCACACACAAGGCACGACCTCCCTTGCAACCCACTGCTCACACACAAGGCACGACCTCCCTTGCAACCCACTGCTCACACACAAGGCACGACCTCCCTTGCAACCCACTGCTCACACACAAGGCACGACCTCCCTTACAACCCATTGCTTACACACAAGGCATGACCTCCCTTGCAACCCACTGCTCACACACAAGGCACGACCTCCCTTGCAACCCACTGCTCACACACAAGGCACGACCTCCCTTGCAACCCACTGCTCACACACAAGGCACGACCTCCCTTGCAACCCACTGCTCACACACAAGGCACGACCTCCCTTGCAACCCACTGCTCACACACAAGGCACGACCTCCCTTGCAACCCACTGCTCACACACAAGGCACGACCTCCCTTGCAACCCACTGCTCACACACAAGGCACGACCTCCCTTGCAACCCACTGCTGACACACAAGGCACGACCTCCCTTGCAACCCACTGCTCACACACAAGGCACGACCTCCCTTGCAACCCACTGCTTACACACAAGGCACGACCTCCCTTGCAACCCACTGCTCACACACAAGGCACGACCTCCCTTGCAACCCACTGCTCACACACAAGGCACGACCTCCCTTGCAACCCACTGCTCACACACAAGGCACGACCTCCCTTGCAACCCACTGCTCACACACAAGGCACGACCTCCCTTGCAACCCACTGCTTACACACAAGGCATGACCTCCCTTGCAACCCACTGCTCACACACAAGGCACGACCTCCCTTGCAACCCACTGCTCACACACAAGGCACGACCTCCCTTGCAACCCACTGCTTACACACAAGGCACGACCTCCCTTGCAACCCACTGCTCACACACAAGGCACGACCTCCCTTGCAACCCACTGCTCACACACAAGGCACGACCTCCCTTGCAACCCACTGCTCACACACAAGGCACGACCTCCCTTGCAACCCACTGCTCACACACAAGGCACGACCTCCCTTACAACCCATTGCTTACACACAAGGCATGACCTCCCTTGCAACCCACTGCTCACACACAAGGCACGACCTCCCTTGCAACCCACTGCTCACACACAAGGCACGACCTCCCTTGCAACCCACTGCTTACACACAAGGCATGACCTCCCTTGCAACCCACTGCTCACACACAAGGCACGACCTCCCTTGCAACCCACTGCTCACACACAAGGCACGACCTCCCTTGCAACCCACTGCTCACACACAAGGCACGACCTCCCTTGCAACCCACTGCTCACACACAAGGCACGACCTCCCTTGCAACCCACTGCTTACACACAAGGCACGACCTCCCTTGCAACCCACTGCTCACACACAAGGCACGACCTCCCTTGCAACCCACTGCTCACACACAAGGCACGACCTCCCTTGCAACCCACTGCTCACACACAAGGCACGACCTCCCTTGCAACCCACTGCTCACACACAAGGCACGACCTCCCTTGCAACCCACTGCTCACACACAAGGCACGACCTCCCTTGCAACCCACTGCTCACACACAAGGCACGACCTCCCTTGCAACCCACTGCTTACACACAAGGCACGACCTCCCTTGCAACCCACTGCTCACACACAAGGCACGACCTCCCTTGCAACCCACTGCTCACACACAAGGCACGACCTCCCTTGCAACCCACTGCTCACACACAAGGCACGACCTCCCTTGCAACCCACTGCTCACACACAAGGCACGACCTCCCTTGCAACCCACTGCTTACACACAAGGCATGACCTCCCTTGCAACCCACTGCTCACACACAAGGCACGACCTCCCTTGCAACCCACTGCTCACACACAAGGCACGACCTCCCTTGCAACCCACTGCTTACACACAAGGCACGACCTCCCTTGCAACCCACTGCTCACACACAAGGCACGACCTCCCTTGCAACCCACTGCTCACACACAAGGCACGACCTCCCTTGCAACCCACTGCTCACACACAAGGCACGACCTCCCTTGCAACCCACTGCTCACACACAAGGCACGACCTCCCTTACAACCCATTGCTTACACACAAGGCATGACCTCCCTTGCAACCCACTGCTCACACACAAGGCACGACCTCCCTTGCAACCCACTGCTCACACACAAGGCACGACCTCCCTTGCAACCCACTGCTCACACACAAGGCACGACCTCCCTTGCAACCCACTGCTCACACACAAGGCACGACCTCCCTTGCAACCCACTGCTCACACACAAGGCACGACCTCCCTTGCAACCCACTGCTCACACACAAGGCACGACCTCCCTTGCAACCCACTGCTCACACACAAGGCACGACCTCCCTTGCAACCCACTGCTGACACACAAGGCACGACCTCCCTTGCAACCCACTGCTCACACACAAGGCACGACCTCCCTTGCAACCCAATGCTTACACACAAGGCACGACCTCCCTTGCAACCCACTGCTCACACACAAGGCACGACCTCCCTTGCAACCCACTGCTCACACACAAGGCACGACCTCCCTTGCAACCCACTGCTGACACACAAGGCACGACCTCCCTTGCAACCCACTGCTCACACACAAGGCACGACCTCCCTTGCAACCCACTGCTTACACACAAGGCACGACCTCCCTTGCAACCCACTGCTCACACACAAGGCACGACCTCCCTTGCAACCCACTGCTCACACACAAGGCACGACCTCCCTTGCAACCCACTGCTTACACACAAGGCACGACCTCCCTTGCAACCCACTGCTCACACACAAGGCACGACCTCCCTTGCAACCCACTGCTTACACACAAGGCACGACCTCCCTTGCAACCCACTGCTCACACACAAGGCACGACCTCCCTTGCAACCCACTGCTCACACACAAGGCACGACCTCCCTTGCAACCCACTGCTTACACACAAGGCACGACCTCCCTTGCAACCCACTGCTCACACACAAGGCACGACCTCCCTTGCAACCCACTGCTCACACACAAGGCACGACCTCCCTTGCAACCCACTGCTCACACACAAGGCACGACCTCCCTTGCAACCCACTGCTCACACACAAGGCACGACCTCCCTTGCAACCCACTGCTTACACACAAGGCATGACCTCCCTTGCAACCCACTGCTCACACACAAGGCACGACCTCCCTTGCAACCCACTGCTCACACACAAGGCACGACCTCCCTTGCAACCCACTGCTCACACACAAGGCACGACCTCCCTTGCAACCCACTGCTCACACACAAGGCACGACCTCCCTTGCAACCCACTGCTTACACACAAGGCACGACCTCCCTTGCAACCCACTGTTTACACACAAGGCACGACCTCCCTTGCAACCCACTGCTCACACACAAGGCACGACCTCCCTTGCAACCCACTGCTCACACACAAGGCACGACCTCCCTTGCAACCCACTGCTCACACACAAGGCACGACCTCCCTTGCAACCCACTGCTCACACACAAGGCACGACCTCCCTTGCAACCCACTGCGCACACACAAGGCACGACCTCCCTTGCAACCCACTGCTCACACACAAGGCACGACCTCCCTTACAACCCATTGCTTACACACAAGGCATGACCTCCCTTGCAACCCACTGCTCACACACAAGGCACGACCTCCCTTGCAACCCACTGCTCACACACAAGGCACGACCTCCCTTGCAACCCACTGCTCACACACAAGGCACGACCTCCCTTGCAACCCACTGCTCACACACAAGGCACGACCTCCCTTACAACCCATTGCTTACACACAAGGCATGACCTCCCTTGCAACCCACTGCTCACACACAAGGCACGACCTCCCTTGCAACCCACTGCTCACACACAAGGCACGACCTCCCTTGCAACCCACTGCTCACACACAAGGCACGACCTCCCTTGCAACCCACTGCTTACACACAAGGCACGACCTCCCTTGCAACCCACTGCTCACACACAAGGCACGACCTCCCTTGCAACCCACTGCTCACACACAAGGCACGACCTCCCTTGCAACCCACTGCTCACACACAAGGCACGACCTCCCTTGCAACCCACTGCTCACACACAAGGCACGACCTCCCTTGCAACCCACTGCTTACACACAAGGCATGACCTCCCTTGCAACCCACTGCTCACACACAAGGCACGACCTCCCTTGCAACCCACTGCTCACACACAAGGCACGACCTCCCTTGCAACCCACTGCTCACACACAAGGCACGACCTCCCTTGCAACCCACTGCTCACACACAAGGCACGACCTCCCTTGCAACCCACTGCTTACACACAAGGCACGACCTCCCTTGCAACCCACTGTTTACACACAAGGCACGACCTCCCTTGCAACCCACTGCTCACACACAAGGCACGACCTCCCTTGCAACCCACTGCTCACACACAAGGCACGACCTCCCTTGCAACCCACTGCTCACACACAAGGCACGACCTCCCTTGCAACCCACTGCTCACACACAAGGCACGACCTCCCTTGCAACCCACTGCTCACACACAAGGCACGACCTCCCTTGCAACCCACTGCTCACACACAAGGCACGACCTCCCTTGCAACCCACTGCTTACACACAAGGCACGACCTCCCTTGCAACCCACTGCTCACACACAAGGCACGACCTCCCTTGCAACCCACTGCTCACACACAAGGCACGACCTCCCTTGCAACCCACTGCTCACACACAAGGCACGACCTCCCTTGCAACCCACTGCTCACACACAAGGCACGACCTCCCTTGCAACCCACTGCTTACACACAAGGCATGACCTCCCTTGCAACCCACTGCTCACACACAAGGCACGACCTCCCTTGCAACCCACTGCTCACACACAAGGCACGACCTCCCTTGCAACCCACTGCTTACACACAAGGCACGACCTCCCTTGCAACCCACTGCTCACACACAAGGCACGACCTCCCTTGCAACCCACTGCTCACACACAAGGCACGACCTCCCTTGCAACCCACTGCTCACACACAAGGCACGACCTCCCTTGCAACCCACTGCTCACACACAAGGCACGACCTCCCTTACAACCCATTGCTTACACACAAGGCATGACCTCCCTTGCAACCCACTGCTCACACACAAGGCACGACCTCCCTTGCAACCCACTGCTCACACACAAGGCACGACCTCCCTTGCAACCCACTGCTCACACACAAGGCACGACCTCCCTTGCAACCCACTGCTCACACACAAGGCACGACCTCCCTTGCAACCCACTGCTCACACACAAGGCACGACCTCCCTTGCAACCCACTGCTCACACACAAGGCACGACCTCCCTTGCAACCCACTGCTCACACACAAGGCACGACCTCCCTTGCAACCCACTGCTCACACACAAGGCACGACCTCCCTTGCAACCCACTGCTTACACACAAGGCATGACCTCCCTTGCAACCCACTGCTCACACACAAGGCACGACCTCCCTTGCAACCCACTGCTCACACACAAGGCACGACCTCCCTTGCAACCCACTGCTCACACACAAGGCACGACCTCCCTTGCAACCCACTGCTCACACACAAGGCACGACCTCCCTTGCAACCCACTGCTTACACATCACCAAGATATCTCTCTTTCCCTTGTGACCCAACGCCCTTGTGACCCAACGCCCTTGTGACCCAACGCCCGCCCCCCTGGGTGTGCATCTCACCCGCGACTCGAGGTTCATCTCGATGGACGAGATGCACGCGTTCTTGGCGCGCTGCAGCTCCTCCGCCGACACTGCGAGGGCATGTGGGGATAGGGGCGAGGAGAGGTGTGAGTTGACAAGGAAAAAACAGATGCACACACTCTTGGCCCGCTCCAACCCCTCTACTGATGCTGTGTTGTGGGACAGGCAATGCTGTGTTGTGGGACAGGCAATGCTGTGTTGTGGGACAGGCAATGCTGTGTTGTGGGACAGGCAATGCTGTGTTGTGGGACAGGCAATGCTGTGTTGTGGGACAGGCAATGCTGTGTTGTGGGACAGGCAATGCGGTGGGGAAAACGGGTAAGGAGACACGCGAGCTAAAAGGGTAGGAGCTGGAGCGGGTGAGGGGAGAGGGCAGGTAAGCGGGATGAGGGCAGGTTGGAATTGACAAGGAAGACTACTGCTGGCAGGCAGGCGCAAGAGCAGCACGGCGCAGCGTAGATACACGTAAGAGGAGCGAGTGGCAGCGTTGCTGCACTCTAGCGCCATCGCTTCTCGTCCCCCCTCCACACCTTGCATTGCTCCTGTCTCACCTCCCTCGACTGTAACCCTGCTTGCCTCTCACCTCGCTCACACCTCAACTTTCTCACACCTCAACTTTCTCACACCTCAACTTTCTCACACCTCAACTTTCTCACACCTCAACTTTCTCACACCTAAACTTTCTCCGCGTTATCAACATGAACATCGACAAGCTTTGACCAGCTCTTCATTCACCTCCCTCACACCTCATCTCCCCCCACCTCACATCCCCCACCCCACCCGCCCCCACATGCGTCTCCGCCCCGCCCCAACCCAACCCAACCCAACCCAACCCAACCCACCCCACCCCGCCCCGCCCCGCCCTCCCCTCCCCCGCGTGGCACCTCCATTGGGCTCAGCGACGGCAAGCAGCTCGCGAGTCATGATGTCCACCAGCTCTGCCGCATGGCCTGACGCCTGGTGCGCGCGCGCACAGGGGGGAGAAGAGGGGAAGGGGGGAGACGGGGGGCGCGGTTGTTAGGCACTGCACTGCACAAAGGGGATTGACGTGAGCGACCTCAGCCGCATGGGCTGACGCCTAATGTACACGTGGGAAGGAGGGAGGAAGGGGGGGACGGGAGAGAAAGGGGAAGAAGAAGCCTGTTTTTGAGGTGCCTCAAACAAGGAGCTCGCATCGCAAGCAACGACGTCCACCACGCCAGCTGCATGGCCTCATGCCCCATGGACGCGTGGCCTCATGCCCCATGGACGCGTGGCCTCATGCCCCATGGACGCGTGGCCTCATGCCCCATGGACGCGTGGCCTCATGCCCCATGGACGCGTGGGCTGGCAGGAGGAGTGGGGAGGAGGGGGGAAAAGGGGGAAGGCGGGGAAGGATTGGGAAGGATTTGGGGGAGGGGGGGGGTGGGGAAAGGGGGGAGGATACAGGAAGAGAGTATGTTTGTGAAAACTTAAGTAAGGAACTCAAGAGCCATGGTGCCACTTCACTTCATGATGGGTGCCTTAAACGACACGTAGCACTCACGGGTGTAGCAGAGCAGCCGTCCCCTCACAGCACTCACGGCGGTGGCGTGGATGCCTCCCCCCTCTACCACTCACAGCAGTGGCGTGGATGCCTCCCCCCTCTACCACTCACAGCAGTGGCGTGGATGCCTCCCCCCTCTACCACTCACAGCAGTGGCGTGGATGCCTCCCCCCTCTACCACTCACAGCAGTGGCGTGGATGCCTCCCCCCTCTACCACTCACAGCAGTGGCATGGATGCCTCCCCCCTCTACCACTCACAGCAGTGGCGTGGATGCCTCCCCCCTCTACCACTCACAGCAGTGGCGTGGATGCCTCCCCCCTCTACCACTCACAGCAGTGGCGTGGATGCCTCCCCCCTCTACCACTCACAGCAGTGGCGTGGATGCCTCCCCCCTCTACCACTCACAGCAGTGGCGTGGATGCCTCCCCCCTCTACCACTCACAGCAGTGGCGTGGATGCCTCCCCCCTCTACCACTCACGGCGGTGGCGTGGATGCCGATGAGCCCTGTGTCGTTGTAGATGGAGTTGAAGGCGCTGCATGACGTCACCATGCCGTACTGGTTCAGCACTCGCGTGTCTGGGGAGGGGGCAGGGGCGACGGGGCACGGGGAAAGGGCAAGGGGGAGAGGCAAGGGGCCAGGGGCCAGGAGGGAGGGGGCAGGGACCAGGGAGGAGGGGGCATAGGGCAGGGGGCAGTGGGCAGGGGCCCGTGGGAGAGGGCAGGAAGCAGGAGGGAGGGGGGAGAGGGCAGGGGACAGGGGGGAAGGGGGCGGGGGGAGAGGGCAAGGGGCAGGGGGCAGGAGGAGGGGAGAGTAGGCAGCAGTGGGGGAAGAGCGAGGGTTGGCGGATGAGCGGATGGGCAAAGGCGCATGAAGCGTGACGTCACCATGCTCACGTGGTACAGCACATGGGTGCGTAGGAGGGGAGGCGGCAGGGGAAGAGATAAGGAGTTGGTATGTGGGGAGAACGAATTCCCAACACGGAAAGAAGCGTTGCATGCTGTGAAAGCAAAGCAGGACTGACAGAGGCGCGAGTACATGCCCTTGCAGGACTCACAGAGGCGCGAGTACATGCCCTTGCAGGACTGACAGAGGCACGAGTACATGCCCTTGCAGGACTCACAGAGGCGCGAGTACATGCCCTTGCAGGACTGACAGAGGCGCGAGTACATGCCCTTGCAGGACTCACAGAGGCGCGAGTACATGCCCTTGCAGGACTCACAGAGGCGCGAGTACATGCCCTTGCAGGATTGACAGAGGCGCGAGTACATGCCCTTGCAGGACTGACAGAGGCGCGAGTACATGCCCTTGCAGGACTGACAGAGGCGCGAGTACATGCCCTTGCAGGACTGACAGAGGCGCGAGTACATGCCCTTGCAGGACTCACAGAGGCGCGAGTACATGCCCTTGCAGGACTCACAGAGGCGCGAGTACATGCCCTTGCAGGACTCACAGAGGCGCGAGTACATGCCCTTGCAGGACTCACAGAGGCACGAGTACATGCCCTTGCAGGACTCACAGAGGCGCGAGTACATGCCCTTGCAGGACTCACAGAGGCGCGAGTACATGCCCTTGCAGGACTGACAGAGGCGCGAGTACATGCCCTTGCAGGACTGACAGAGGCGCGAGTACATGCCCTTGCAGGACTGACAGAGGCGCGAGTACATGCCCTTGCAGGACTCACAGAGGCGCGAGTACATGCCCTTGCAGGACTCACAGAGGCGCGAGTACATGCCCTTGCAGGACTCACAGAGGCGCGAGTACATGCCCTTGCAGGACTCACAGAGGCGCGAGTACATGCCCTTGCAGGACTCACAGAGGCGCGAGTACATGCCCTTGCAGGACTCACAGAGGCGCGAGTACATGCCCTTGCAGGACTCACAGAGGCGCGAGTACATGCCCTTGCAGGACTGACAGAGGCGCGAGTACATGCCCTTGCAGGACTCACAGAGGCGCGAGTACATGCCCTTGCAGGACTCACAGAGGCGCGAGTACATGCCCTTGCAGGACTCACAGAGGCGCGAGTACATGCCCTTGCAGGACTCACAGAGGCGCGAGTACATGCCCTTGCAGGACTCACAGAGGCGCGAGTACATGCCCTTGCAGGACTCACAGAGGCGCGAGTACATGCCCTTGCAGGACTCACAGAGGCGCGAGTACATGCCCTTGCAGGACTGACAGAGGCGCGAGTACATGCCCTTGCAGGACTCACAGAGGCGCGAGTACATGCCCTTGCAGGACTCACAGAGGCGCGAGTACATGCCCTCGCAGGACTCACAGAGGCGCGAGTACATGCCCTTGCAGGACTCACAGAGGCGCGAGTACATGCCCTTGCAGGACTCACAGAGGCGCGAGTACATGCCCTTGCAGGACTCACAGAGGCGCGAGTACATGCCCTTGCAGGACTCACAGAGGCGCGAGTACATGCCCTTGCAGGACTCACAGAGGCGCGAGTACATGCCCTTGCAGGACTCACAGAGGCGCGAGTACATGCCCTTGCAGGACTCACAGAGGCGCGAGTACATGCCCTTGCAGGACTCACAGAGGCGCGAGTACATGCCCTTGCAGGACTCACAGAGGCGCGAGTACATGCCCTTGCCCGGGCCACCTGCAGAGAAGGAGCCGCCGCCCCCCAGGAGGGTCTGCAGCACCACCACTGCCAGCGCGTCCTTCTCGTTGCGCCACCCGCCCGCAAACTCAAAGCCCAACGCCACGTGCGTCTCCTGCTCACACAGCGCGAGGGGTAGACGAGGGAGCAGCGGGGAATGAGGGGGAGAAGAGCAGAGAGGCAAGGTGCGTCTTGTGGTGCGCCAGGCGGGCGGGTGATGGACGTTGGCGTTTTGATGCTCACACGCACAAGGGGCGTTTTGATGCTCACACGCACAAGGGGCGTTTTGATGCTCACACGCACAAGGGGCGTTGCCTCTCTCACCCTACAGCCTCGTGACAAGTCAAAGCAGCGACATGAGGGTGTGTTGAGGGAAGGGGTTGGGCGAAAGGCAGTGGCGCGAAGCAAAGGCAGAGGAGGCAGTGGCCCACAGTTGAACAACTACCCAGCGAGACCCTGATCCCGGAGCACTCACGGGAGAGTCGGCCGCCATGCGCCAGTCGCCGCCCACATACTGCGACTCGGGTGCGGGCGGCGGCTTCACTGCAGGCATGTCTTGGAAGAGCGGCGCCACCACGTCCACCAGCTCCTCGTGCTGCACGCCCGCCGCCGCCACCACGATGCGCGGCGCTGTGTAGTTGGCCTGAACAAACTCGTACAGCGCCTGGCCGTTGAGGCGCGCGAGAGACGACTCGTGCGCCAGCAGCGGCTGGCCGAGCGCCCCCGCGTAGCCGGCGGAGTGCAGCGCCTCCATCATGAGCCCCTGCGGGTTGGTCGCCTGCAGCTGCGCCAGCTCGCTGCGCACCTTGTCCACCTGGGGATAGGGAGGGGGCGAGGCGGGATGGGGAAAGGGGGAAGGGAGAATGGGCATTCCTTGCAACATACCCAATGCCCCACATACAGCCCACCCATGAAAGCACCTGGTCCATGACCTCCCATGAAAGCACCTGGTCCATGACCTCCCAGTCGTGCAAGGGCGGATCCTGACAGGGTGAGAGCAGCAGCGGCGCCGGCACGACCTGAGGCACTGTGAGGGTCCACTGGAACGGCCCAGCGAAAAAGCCAGGTCTAAAGCGCACGGGTGGGGAGGTTACCTGCTCCTTGACCTCCCAGTCGTGGAAGAGCGAGTTGCGCACGGTGTCGGCCAGCAGCTCCACCATCTCCGGCACGTACGTGCGCACGGCGTCCGCCGTCAGCGCCATCTGCTCCCTCGACGCCGACGACTGCACGTTCGCCCCCATCGCCTCTATCTGCGGATGATGGGCGGCGAGGGAGGGGGCCATGGGGAGGGGAGGTGGGGGGAGAGGGGAGGAGAGGAAGGGAAGGATGGAGAGACGGATAGTGTTGGAAGATTTCGAAAGGTATGCGCTGCCAAGCAGCCAATGCAGTATGCTCGTGAGGCACTGAGGGCACACGCACACAAGCCTCTGATAAGCTATGAACCAACCCTCCCAGATACGCACATCTCTTTGATCTGATAACGCACCTCGCGGATGAGGCGGAAGTGCGTGCGGTTGGCGGTGCTCTTGAACGCCATGCGCTCCAGCAGGTGCGACGCGCCGCTGCTCTCCGCGCTCTCGTGCACGCTGCCCGCGTCGATGTACAGCCCCACCGTCGCCGTGGGGCCCTGGCACGCGCACAAGGGAGAAAAGGGAAGAGGGGGAGAGCGAGAGAGGCAGTGAGACGCGCTGCCCGTCTTCACACCCCCTCCTGCGCGCTGCCCGCCCCCCCCGCCGCCGATGTACAGCCCCACTGCCGCGGGGGGTGGGGTTGGGGGGGGCGCATTGGGGGATCGGAAGAGAGGGAGCGGGCGAGGGGTGGTGAGGCGCGATCAGGTCATTCCTTCCTTCCCACGCCCGACCAGCGCTGTGCTGCGCTGTGGGCCCTGGGCACCGAGACGATTGGAGATACTGGGAGGGAAAAAGGAAGCTTTTGGAATGAGCAAAGCGGACAAACCTGCATCGTTCATACGGCCACCATCTGACTCTGTTTCTTACAACGGCTTATTCATACACTTGCTTGCTTACCTCCGTCGCTTTTTGGAAGTCTCAAAAACGGATTCAATGATGTTGAAACCAGTTACCTCATTAAAGTCTTTGCGATGTTACTCACAGGAAGGTTCTCCGAAGCAATCCGGAGCCCATTCGGCAGGGTCGACACAACCGTCTCAGTGGCTTTAAACTCCATCAGGGGCGGCGGAATAGTAACCCCAGGGAGCGGCTCGAACATCGGCGGCCCGGGTTGCGGCGCGGACGCGAAGAGCATCGAGAGCAGCCCGCCCCTCTTGGCGGGTTTCGCGGCGTGAGCGACGGCGGTGGAGGCGGCGGCGGGAGAGGAAGCGGATGTGGTGAAAGGCGACGCGGGAGATGCGGCGGGGGCGAGCAGGCGGACGGCTGCGATGGATCCGAGGGCCTGGGGGAAGGGGCGGAGAGGGGGCAAAGGGGGGAAGGGGCGGAGCGTGTAGGGGGAGGAATGGATCAAGCCTTCTTTAACATAGATTCGCAGAAACTAGAAAATATCTAAGAAGACATGAAGGCATACAAAAGAGAGACATTAACACACGTGCTCGCGCCATTGCGATCGGACAAGGCAGGCGGTATCGTGCGATCCACTGCAGCCAACGCCTGTGACCATTGAGTCGACTCGACAGGCACCTCAGATCCGATCCAATAGGCACCAATAGGCGACTGAGCCGACGCGGCACGAACCTTATGGAGGCCCCGGGACGAGGTGCGGGAAGCTGCGGAAAGCATGGCTGCAGATGGAATGCGTCCGTGGGTGCTTAGGCGAGCGAATGGAGAGACGACGGTTGTGGGGACAAGTTAGAGCTCCGTGCAGCAACGGTTGTCTACGCTGTTCGTGCTTTTGAACCATGAGTACTCCAGTTCCAAGGACGCGATACATGTGTGCCTGTTTCAGGCGCTCGTTCGTCAAGTTCGGGAGCACGAAATTAGACCAGCAGCGACAAATATTCCTACGTTGGCGAGGCGTATTTAGTTCGCATGGAAGGCGAGTGCAACCTTTTGCGAAGAGACTTCTGGTGCTGCCAGGTCTTTGACGAGAATCTCCGCTGGTAACTTTGCAAAACCAGTCAGATGGTGGCACCCATTGATCATTTCATATTGACCACTCGGTCGAGCTGGCGATCGTTCTGCAGGCTCGCTCGGCAGATCGGTGCAGAAATACACCACCTCCTAGACGGCTGCATGGGGGGAGGCAACGGAAGAGGGTTCAGGGCGATTTTGCGCAATGATGGCGCACGCGAGTGCGGAAAACACACAAAGCACGCCGCCAGTGAGCGAGAAAGGCCGCCAGGGATCTCGTTTGGGAAAAATGCGAATACACTTCACTCATATTGAAGTATATGATATGAAAGGGTAAATTGAGAATGTGCAAGGAAATTTTTCAAATTCCTTACTGAGCCCTACCTACCGCAACCACGTACAACACTCAACCGTTCTTCGGCCATGGGAAAATTCACACAGACTTAGGTAAGATATCCACCGTCGGCGGAGCAAACCACAACTTGATCAAAACCGCACCTGTTAGAAAACTACACAGCCCTTACACCGATGCTTATCCGAGATAGACGCAATATTGGTTGACGGCACGCCACTCGCTATACTGGAATGCGTGGACCGAGTTTGAGCTCGTTGCGGTGGGCTTCACATTTACCCAAGAAATGCAATCGATGATACTCGATAGTACTGATATTCCACTATGACGTAATTTGCTGCAACGACACAACCCGCGAATGGACTGGGTGACGGTTGAGTGCACCGTGCGAGTCAACGGTAACAACATTGGCCTACCTTGCAGGAACTCACCCGCGTCTTTGTCGATTCGTGTTAGCACCATCATGATGACACGCGCCGTAGTAGCTAGAGCTGACGAATACAATGTTGACGTCCGGGAAGCCGAGGCAGACGACGTACCGGGTGACGTGGCAGAGATTCTAAAATGGTACGAAGGATATTTTTCCAGATGACTTACTGGAAAGGGAGTGTCACTTCAGCGACATCACCTCAGCATACTGTCAAACTGTATGTTTGTGTTCTCGATAGGCTATAGTGGGTTAGCCTACAAGGGGTACAACACTTTAGGGTTAGGTACTTGTACTCATGCATGCTTCCTAGTCCATCATTCCTACCTGCTTATTCTAACATGGTATCAGAGCAGAATCGTTCCTAGGGCCCACCGAACGTTCCGCCCTGCCCTACCCGTATTTTTTTTTCCTACGCTGCCCCTGCAGCCGCACTGCCCTTGCAGCCTGCGCGCTGCCCCTGCGACCACGCTGCCCCTGCAGCCGTGCTCGCCCCTACGACCGCGCTGCCTCTGCAGCCGTCCTCGCCCCTGCGACCGTGCTGCCCCTTCAGCAGTACTCGCCCCTGCGACCGTACTGCCCCTGCAGCCGTGCTTGCCCCTATGGCCCGCGCGCTGCCCCTGCAGCCCGTGCGTCGCCCCTGCAGCCCGCGCACTGCCCCTGCAGCCCGCGCGTCGCCCCTGCAGCCCGCGCGTCGCCCCTGCAGCCCTTGCGCGCTGCCCCTGCAGCCCACGCGCCGCCCCTTCAGCCCGCGGGCTGCCCCTGCAGCCCGCGCGTCGCCCGTGCAGCCCACGCGTCGCCACTGCAGCCCGTGCGTGCTGCCCCTGCAGCCCGCGCGCCACTCTTGCAGCCTGCGCGCCGCCCCTGCAGCTCGGGCGCCGCCCATGCAGCCCGCACGCCGCCCCTACAGCCCGCCCGTCGCCCCTGCAGCCCGCGCGTCGCTCGTGCAGCCCGTGCGCGCTGCCCCTGCAGCCAGCGCGTCGCCCCTGCAGCCCGTGCGCGCTGCCCCTGCAGCCCGCGCGCCGCTCCTGCAGCTCGCGCGCCGCCCTGCCGAGCCGTGGTGCCCAGCCCAAGCCGCGCCGCCCTGCCTGAGCCGCGCTACTTGTGCTGCTACTACTGCTTTCTAAAAAAAAAAAAAAAAAAAAGGGTTTCCACTGCAGCGGCTAGGCATGAGCAAAGAGGCGAGCCGCAGCTCGGTTCGGCGCGGTTCCTTTCGCTACGAACCAAACCTCAGCCTTGTTTTGTTCAAGAGGTTCGCCATGGACCGAACCGGTTTGTCATCGAACCGGTTCGGCGGTTCGGCCGATTTGGTTTTTAGCTTATAACTAGGGGCACAGAGGGGCGGGGAGGGGTTACGAAAGGTTAAGCGGGGCAAAAATGGCCGATTCGGTTCGGTTCGGTTCGGTATTTCTGCTATAATACCGAACCTCGAACCGGCATGAGACCAGAACGGTTCGGAACGAACCGGTTCGGTTCGAGCACGAACCGGTTCGGTGAATGCGCTATAGTGGCCGAACCGGTTCGGTTCGGTACTTTGCTCATGCCTAGCTGCGGCACCCTTTTCTACTGCTTAGTTGTACCCTGCCGAGCAGCGCCGCCCAGCCCAAGCCGCGCCGCCCAGGCCGAGCCGCGCCGCCCAGGCCGAGCCGCGCCACCCAAACCCGAGCCGCCCTGCTACTACTACTGCTACAGCTGCTGCTACTACTGCTGCTGCTGCTACTCGTGCTACTGTTGCTGCTGGTAGAGGTGCTGCTGGTGTTCGAGGAGCTGGAGGTGCTGGACCTACTCCTGACCGTCACTGTCTGTCATGGCCACTATCGCGGCAGTTGCTGCGACCAGGGGTGGACAGCAGTGGGCACTTCCTCTCCCGGACGACCCCACCCCTCAGCAGCTTCGTGAGTGGGTGTTTCAGCGAGGCAATCCTGGTGGTGGAGGTTTTAGTTTTATGTGGCCTAAGCGACCTCGCGACTGTGCTTCTCAGCGATGCGTCCCTGGCTGTGTCCATGTTACTGCTCTTGGTTCTAGTGATTCTGCTGCCGCTCCAGGTGCTAGTGAGTCTGCTGCCGCTCCAGGTGCTAGTGAATCTGCTGCTGCTCCAGGTGCTGGTGAGTCTGTTGCATCTCTAGGTGCCCGTGAGTCTGCCGACGCTCTAGGTGCTAGTGCGTCTCCTGCCACAGGTCCTGCCGCAGCTGAGGTCTTACACACTTTCACGCTTGACTCAGGCGCGTCACATTGCTTCTTTCGTGATTGCAGCACAGTCACACCACTCGCAGCACCTGTCCCAGTCTCACTGGCTGACCCCTCTGGGGGCCCAGTAGTTGCGCGAGCCTCCACAATCCTCCCTTGTCCAGCACTCCCCTCCGGTTCTTTGTCAGGTGTCCACCTCCCCACGTTCTCGACGAACTTGGTGAGCAACGCTGCCATTCAGGATGTCTGGGTTGATACCTTTATTCCTGGAGGGCAGCGAGTGGCGATCTGTACGTGCTCCCGGACTGGCCGTCACCTGGCTACGTTCACTCGCCAGCCTGGGTCTAGGCTATACACACTGACCACTGCGTCTGCACATGTGGCTGAGTCAGGTCAGGTGGCTGCGTCGAGTCAGGCGTCTGCGTCAGGACAGTTAGCTGCGTCTTGCTCGTGCAGAGTACTCACGCACGAGACTCAGCGCTGGCACCACCGTCTTGGTCACCCCTCCCTGCCGCGTCTACGTAGCATGCACTCCTGTCTCCTTGTCTCTGGCCTCCCCAGATCCCTGCCCCCCCTGCCGCCCTCGCTTTCCCTGCCGTGCCTTCCTTGCGTCGAGGGGCGGCAGCGCGCCGCTCCTCACTCCTCCGAGTTTCCTCCGACCACTGCTCCTTTGCAGACTCTTCACATGGATGTGTGAGGCCCGGCCCCCAACGGTGGAACGGACCGCGAGCACTACTTCCTGCTTGTTGTTGACGACTACACACGCTACACCACTGTCTTCCCCTTGCGGCGCAAGGCAGATGTCCGTGGTGTTTTGATCGAGTGGATCATCGCTGTTCGTCGCCAGCTGAACGCGCGGTTCCAGCAGGACCTCCAGGTCCTGCGACTGCACTCTGACTGAGGCGGTGAGTTTTCCTCCCGCCTCCTTGAGGACTTTTGTCGTGCGGAGGGCATCGCCTAGTCGTTCACGCTTCCGGCCTCCCCACAGGAGAATGGGATTGCTGAGCGTCGCATTGGCTTGATCATGGAGGTTGCTCGCACCTCCATGATCCATGCGGCTGCTCCCCATTTTCTGTGGCCGTTTGCGGTCCGATACGCTGTGCATCAGCTCAACCTCTGGCCGCGTGTCTCTGTGCCAGAGACCTCGCCCACCCTCCGGGGGACGGGGAAGCCTGGTGATGCGTCAGTGTTTCGGGTCTGGGGCGCGCTCTCCCTTGTT